ATTCAGTGCTTGAAGCACCGCCTCTGGCGGTCATCCAGGATTCATAGAACCGTAGTTACGGTAGTAACTTTCGTTTTATCAGAACTCAGGACATTTACCATCAATTTAAGCCAGTTTTGTTTTTGGAGTATTTGCTTCTTCTAAGGAGAGTGTAGGCATAGTGGTTATAGCAGTGCGCTTGTGCTCTGAGAAGGTTGAAAATACCCGTTCGATCCCCTTAGCCTCCACTCATGGTTCCTGAGCAAAATCCTTAACCCCAAACTGCTCCCCGGGCGCCACACAATGGCAGCCCACTGCTCCCCAAGGGGATGGGTTAAAGGCAGAGAGTTCATTTCCCCATTGTGGGACAATAAAGGGATTTACATTTACCTAAACAGTAGGCACCTTTATTTATTTATTTATTTTTTACTGAGAAAGTTTGGACCTGAAACTTTGCTGAGAGGATTTATTAAATTGCAGCAAAATGGAGGAATAGAAATAATGATATTCATAGATTTTAATCATTTTGACAATTCTAAAAGCAGAATGTGCTCTAATACCTCTATGCTTCTATGCTGTTTATATGAAAATGTTTGTAAAGTGGGTAAAGTAAGGATTCCACCCTCAAAGCAAGTTATCTTTACATTATATTTTATTAACAGGACAATTAAAACTGCTGAACATGCACAAAGTAGTGGAGAGAAATGCATCACGGTTATATAATCAAAGTTAGACTAGAAACTTTAATGTTCTTTTATTTAACAGTTCAGGTAAAACAGACAAAGGCCACTTTAAACAAATGGGTGTTTAAATTGATTTAAAGCAACTCAGGGTTTCAACACCTTTACAGCTTTCTAGGAGTTTGTTGCGGAATAATCAATCAATCAACTTTTATTTATATAGCGCTTTACAACACACAACATGATGTACAGCGGCTTCTTGTGCCATGTTTTCCACAGATGACAGAGCATTCACTGTATGTAAATAAAAATATAACTCATCAGACAAGGTCATCTTCTTCCATCGCTCCACTGCCAACTTCTATAAACATATGTGCATCCCCGCTTTGGTCTGCAGCTTGGCATCGTTGCACAAATTAAATTGGAAATTAAAAATCGCTCACCAGTGTTCCCTTAATGATCACTTGTTGAAAGATGCTGACCATCGCAGACGAGTAAGGGCATGATAGACTTTGAAAAACCCAAATTCTTATCATTGATCATAGTTTCTGTCCCTGTCCACAAAGAGATGAAGATATGCAGATATTCACGTCACTAATTAATTGGTTTGTTTAGTTCTTTAAATGTCGCCTCCATGAACATCTAAACTCAAACTGTTAATTTATAAAAAGTTCTGAGTATAAAAACAGTGCAGGAGGAGGCGAGGACAGTGGGTGTAGCAGGTAGAGGGAGACCAGAGCGGAGGATTAATTCCCTGAAGTAAAGAGATGCAGAACTAAAACATTAATGAAATGAGGAACTGATAGTGGGGACCGATCTGGCCCAGAGAGGCCTGAACGAAAAGAGAAGGACGTGGAGGAGAACAAGGGAAGCAGCTCTTCGCACATACAGGCTCATGGCCATGTTTGTGGGGTTTAGATATTGGATCTATGATAGCAGGAAGATGTAGGTGAGGGTAGGACGCTAAAAAAAAGATTGTTTATTTACAAGAGCTGTACTTCACCAGACAAAAACAGTCAGGTGTAATATTAGGACCTGTGACTTCTTTAATCTTTACTCTGTCGTGACAAATAAAACCTCTGTGAAACTCTACGAAATCTCAAACCAAATTGCAGTTTGAGTCACTGTCAAGTTTGCTTCTCATAAGTTTATGATACAACAATCAAAAAGAGAGCAGAGTTGATGGAACGTCACTAACCTCAAAAAGCACTCAGAGTATCTTAATACTGTGCTCCTAGAATGAATTGAGAACCTGACAATGTGATGGGTGGGAGACGGTCTGTTTCCTGCGGCTATTCGCTCAGTCTTCCAGTCTCCCGGCTTTAATTATTAATGTTACATTGACACACCGCATACCAAATGAAGGAAAGGTTATGAGTCACAGAAATATGAGCAGGCCTGTTAAACAGAAGGAGGGGGGGATTAATAAAAGCTGAGAACTTTGGAAACAAGATCTAGCAGAAGACCCCATTGAAATCTGTATTACATTGTGAGGCAAGGTTATTTACACAGAACAGTTCAGTAGCAAGACCGCTCACTGTGCTTTACTGAACATGAAAGTATAATCTATTATAAAAGGAAAGGAAATTGGATGACAAACCTCAGCTAATAATGAATAGATAGCTCTGTCCAAGTGTTAGAATAATTGTATATAAATGTATCTGTGTAGTGTTATCATGCATAAAGCTGTGTGCTATTTGCATGTCTTTATGGCCATCTTTTCTGAAGTGTACTGTGATTTGTAAGATTTGCTTTTGGGGAGCTTGTGGTTGATCTACAGGCAGCACTCGACCTGCTGAACTTTGGTGAACCGCTTCAACCGCTTAAACTTTGACTGAACCCTGAAATTTATAGGATGTTTACTGAGACTGTAAGTCTGAATTTTTCATGTTGTTTCTGATCTCTAGAGCAGTCTCAGCTGTTGTAACAAGGGACCCCTAATTTCTAATAACTAGCAAGCAGAACGCTGGGACTGCAGAGTGAGGTGGAGATTGTAAACTCTGCAGTCTCTTCCTACTCTCCTCGCGAGTAAAACAAAATTTATTGTCTCTGTGCCTTCTTTCATCCCCCGTATGTATGTATGATGTTTTAGGTGCTTAGACCTGACACCAAGTAAATACCCTTTTATTCTTGATTTGACGCAACTTAGTTTTTTTTTTTTTTTTTTTACAGTTTTGTGTGAGTTTATTCCACATCAGTGGAGCATAAGAACTAAAATCTGCTTGTCAGTTTTTGGTTCTGGTACTGCAGCTTAGATCTGATCCAGGGGACCTGAGAGGTCTGGCTGTCGATCCACTGACAAGAAGTCTTAATTGTATTTTGGTTGTAAGCAATTCAGTCATTTATGGACTAACAGAAGTGTTTTAAAGTCTATCCTTAGAGATACGGCGAAACGCTGAAGGACTTTAGAACTGGGCTCATGTTCTCCACCTTCTTAGTTCTTGTGAGAATGCAGAAAGCAGCATTCTGGGTCAGCTGCAACAACTCTACTAAAGATGAACAAAGCAATTTTACAAGGTCCTGCTGAGACATCAGTCCTTTAATCCTTGAGATGTTCTTCAGGTGACAGAAGGACGAACTTGTTCCCGTCTTTATGAGCCTCTGAAGGATCAGGTCTAAGTTCATCACTACACCCATATTTACCCTTGATTGCTGCTTTCTAGCTGGATTAACTGGAGCTGTGTGCTAACTTTCAAACACTCATCTGTTGGTCCAAATTTACTCCGGTTTTGTTTTGTTTATGCTGAAGAAAATGTTGTTCCCTCCATGCATTGATTCCTTCTTAGCATTTACTCAGAGCTGGATTGGGTCAATAGAATATATCTACGGTCCCTAATGTAAAGTTGCCTACTGACCCCAATTAACTTCTTTCTACATTATAACAGTATATAACAGATTTCTTCCTCCACCTTTTTTTTTATTTCCCTTCTTGTCCCTCTAAAATCTCTTGAGATAAAAAAAAATACAACACATATAACCTGATGCAGTTCTCAAAAGAAAAGGAAACAGCTTTCCAAGCCAACCTGGGCCTGTGTGGAAAAGATAAACCCATGGAGGGATTTTGCAGAATTGTTTAGCCACACTAGAAGGTGTTAGCGCTCAAAACGAGTGGCCTAAGGTAATGCCCTAGTATCTCAATAAGATGTCGCGAGGGGTGCTGGTGCCTATTTCCAGCTGTCTATGGGCGAGAGGCGGAGTACACCCTGGACAGGTCGCCAGTCACTTTGACTATTCCACCTCAAAACCTTCAGGTTTTTATTCTTTATAGCCACCCCGATGCATAACCTAAACATGTTTATGCTTTATCTAGACTCTGTCCTGCAGAATTAATGGTTCAGTTATTAATTCCTGTGATTTAGAGGTTTTGGGCTAATATTAAATATTTAATCAGGAGTAGGTTTATTGGCCTCTTATTTCTCCTACAGATGCCATTGTTGCTGAGCCACTTTCTCCGTGTTGAATCCTGATCACTGACCATAACTGGGCAAAGCGAGACCAGCAGTATTTCAGATGCTCTTCCCAGTTCACCTCTTCCATCATGCGTTCTTGGGGTAACTTTGGTCTGTCTGCAAGGAAGGTTTCGAGCTGTTTCCCATCTTCCTCATTAGTGAATAGTGGAGTTTACTGTGGTTCATTGAAGTCTCAAAGCTTTAGAAATATTTTTATCATACTGTCCTGATGGATGTCACTGATTTTCTTAATTATCTTTTTTTTAATCTGGAGTTCAGATGTCGTTTTTTGACACGTTTAGTGTTAAAGTTTGACCTAACAAGGTTACAATTTTAGGTTGTTCATCTAGGTTAAATTTAAGTGATTTTTTTTTATTCAGATTGCTGTTCAACTTTCTAAAATGTAAATCTAAAAATCATCTAAAATGTACCCCCCTCCCTCTGTTAAATCATAATAAGAGGGAGAGGGGTAATTACTTTTTCACAAAGCTCAGTTTGGAAAACAGTTTCCTTTATTAAATAAAATCATATTTTGTATTTTCTAATTTAAGTGATCATAAGCTCAACCTCACCTTAAATAGGATTTCTTCTTCACAGAGAGGTTTTAGGGGCTTTAAAACCTTTATGAATGTTGATAATTCTGCTTATTTTGACCCTGATTAGTGCTTTTGATGAAACTATTCTATCATTAATCAGTTTAAAAAGTCTGAATCAAGTCGTCTTGTTTTTAACCCTCTTCTAAATGTTTGTGAAAAGAAAACACACAAAGCCAGAGTGGACTGCTGCCTCTATTATCCAAGTATTGAACGAGAGGTTTTGTCGGGACAAATCAATAGCGGCGTCCTGTTTCTCCTGGAACAGAAGTGACACAGTCGATCCTCTTGTCTTTCAGGGGAACAGTGGAGGCACGCTTTGTTTACGTCTTCGTTCTGGGCATCCTCTTCTCGGGGACCAAGGACCTGCTGAGATCCCAGATCATCACTGCAGATGCAAAGCTGAAGAGCAGGGGATTATGGGAGATTTACAGCGGCCTGGTTTTGCTGGTTTCCCTCTTGTTTCGGGCCCATAACCTGCCAGTGCTGTGCTGCTGCCTTTTGATCCAGACACTCATGGCTAGGTTTATCTGGAGGAAACTCCACTATGACGCAGCCCAGACCACCATCATGCACTACTGGTTTGGCCAGGCCTTCTTTTACTTTCAGGTGAGAACCACAACCTTATACATCTTCATTTTTCCAAGAAGTCCCAATACTGATATGAGCAGTTTTGTTTAAAACACAAACATTAACTCCTCTTCACATGTATTTTGAACCTTTTTTGTTCAGATTCAATACATCACAAACACAAGTTCATGCTTTTTCTCTTTTAGAATACTCATATGAGTATTCTAAAATCTCTCTCCTCCTCACATGGACCTGTTTCTGTGTGCTAATGTCCCCTTTTGTCAGATTAATGGACGAACCAACCTCACTTTACTTACTTACTTGGATTTATCACTTTATTTGGATTTAGTTTTTACATATGCATATATATATATATATATATATAGATATATATGTCTATATATTTTTTCTGTTTTTATGCTTATTTTTTTATCTTTATTATATTGTGTGGTTGGATGTGTGTTTGTATATATATATATATATCTATATATATATAGATATATATATATATAGATATATATATATATATATCTATATATATATATATACACTATATTGCCAAAAGTATTTGCTCACCCATCCAAATTATTGGAATCAGGTGTTCCAATCACTTCCATGGCCACAGGTGTATAAATTCAAGCACCTAGGCATGCAGACTGTTTTTACAAACATTTGTGAAAGAATGGGTCGCTCTCAGGAGCTCAGTGAATTCCAGCGTGGAACTGTGATAGGATGCCACCTGTGCAACAAATCCAGTCGTGAAATTTCCTCGCTCCTAAATATTCCACAGTCAACTGTCAGCTGTATTATAAGAAAATGGAAGTGTTTGGGAACGACAGCAACTCAGCCACGAAGTGGTAGGCCACGTAAACTGACGGAGCGGGGTCAGCGGATGCTGACGCGCATAGTGCGAAGAGGTCGCCAACTTTCTGCAGAGTCAATCACTACAGACCTCCAAACTTCATGTGGCCTTCAGATTAGCTCAAGAACAGTGCGCAGAGAGCTTCATGGAATGGGTTTCCATGGTCGAGCAGCTGCATCCAAGCCATACATCACCAAGTGCAATGCAAAGCGTCGGATGCGGTGGTGTAAAGCACGCCGCCACTGGACTCTAGAGCAGTGGAGACGCGTTCTCTGGAGTGACGAATCGCGCTTCTCCATCTGGCAATCTGATGGACGGGTCTGGGTTTGGCGGTTGCCAGGAGAACGGTACTTGTCTGACTGCATTGTGCCAAGTGTAAAGTTTGTTGGAGGGGGGATTATGGTGTGGGGTTGTTTTTCAGGAGCTGGGCTTGGCCCCTTAGTTCCAGTGAAAGGAACTCTGAATGCTTCAGCATCCCAAGACATTTTGGACAATTCCATGCTCCCAACTTTGTGGGAACAGTTTGGAGCTGGCCCCTTCCTCTTCCAACATGACTGTGCACCAGTGCACAAAGCAAGGTCCATAAAGACATGGATGACAGAGTCTGGTGTGGATGAACTTGACTGGCCTGCACAGAGTCCTGACCTCAACCCGATAGAACACCTTTGGGATGAATTAGAGCGGAGACTGAGAGCCAGGCCTTCTCGTCCAACATCAGTGTGCAACCTCACAAATGCGCTTCTGGAAGAATGGTCAAAAATTCCCATAAACACACTCCTAAACCTTGTGGACAGCCTTCCCAGAAGAGTTGAAGCTGTTCTAGCTGCAAAGGGTGGACCGACGTCATATTGAACCCTATGGATTAGGAACGGGATGTCACTTAAGCTCATATGTGAGTCAAGGCAGGTGAGCAAATACTTTTGGCAATATAGTGTATATATATATATATATATATATATATATATATATATATATATATATATATATATATATATATATATAAAAAACTGTCACTGGAGCGTGTAACAAAAGTAATTTCCCTCTGGGATTATTAAAGTATTTCTGATTCTGAGAAAGTATAGAAAGGAATTCCCGCCTTTTCCTGTTTGCGGCTTGTAACATTAGCATGAACATTTTCCCTCTTGTTGCGTTAGCAGATTTTGATGCGCTGAATGTTGAAGGACATTTTTGCAGAACTTTAGACGTTTGATCATTTTCATCCTAAAAACTCCTCGATTTATTATTGAACTAGATATTATTGAGCTCATCTAAATGAGTTTATGCCTAACTCTCTCTGTAAACCAGGATCTGAATCTGTTTGGAGGCAGACTGAAAAAGTGGGTTTGAACCGGACCAGAGTTCATAGGTTTTAATTCACACCCACACAAAAGCTTCGGACCAAAAGGGATAAAGAAACTCTGGTCCATTTAAATCAGACTAAATGTGTGTGTGAACGCACCTAAGTTACATAGGGAAGCATGTTAAAGTCACCTTTTATAATTTATCCATTTTAGCTGTAATAATGTGATTAAAGAGCAGCTGAAGGTTGCTTTGGCAGATAAATGTCATTAGGATTTGATTATTTGTCTCCTCCACTGTCTGTTTGAGACTCCCTTAGAGTAGACAGCTTTATCTGTTTTTGTTGGAGACCACCAAACAATCAGCGTCCTTGGACATAGTTTGTGTTGCTATTTTTAGTTAATCAGCTTTTTTGTTTTTTGTTTGGAATAGAAACAGAAAACCAATAGTAAAGACAAAGTGACCTCTACTCATATTGTCATCCTGTTATAGTATATGTTTGGCCTTTATGGTCTTTAAATAGAGACACAATTTAGCTTATCTTAGTTATGGGTTCATGTACGTGACGGGAGGCGAGTAGTTTCCAAACACTGCAAAACACTAACAAAGGAAAGCCATTTTTCTTTTTTAATAAATGCATATAACCTTGTTTGAGCAGGTAAGACAATTTGCCAATGAAACGAAAATATTTAATGTTTAAAATAAGAAAAAACAAACAATTGCCTTGTATTATTTAAAGTGAGTAATACAGTATCTAATTACAGTGGCACAGGATGTAGTTTACACTGCAATCGAAGGGTTGTCGGTTCAAGTCCCAGCTCCCGGTTTCAGTGTTTTTTTGTTTTTTGTCCTTGGTGACGACCCTTCACCAGCATTGCCTACAGATGGTGGTCAGAGCATCAGTGGCGCCTGTGTACGGCAGCCTTGCCCTGTTTCCCTTAGCCTAGACTCACAGGAGCAGGCAGCTGCGTCGTCCTGAAAGCCCCGTATGCAGACAGAGCAAAGACAGCAGAATGGAGACCGGCTCCATGTTCCCACAGCTGATAACACATCCGCAAAGCTGTTGATGGATTACAAAATTTTATTTAAATGTCTATAAGTGTTTAATAGTCTAAAAGAGATAATCCTCCTAAGTTAAAGCAGGCATTATGGTGTTTGCCTAGTAAACCAGCAGTAGAATAAATGTGGGGTTTTAAGCTTTCTTTCATCATCTTTCACCTTTTGAAAAACATTTAAGAATTTGTCGTCACTCAGTCATGTATGCACAATAAAACAAAAACAAATTTCTATCCTTTAAAGAACTAGTAGTGCAGCAATTAACACCAAGTGGTCTCTTTGCACCAAACTTGTTTTTGGGCATCAGGGCATCTGGTGTGCATTTAAAGTGAGTTGTAGATGCCATCAAGGCACGTCTAAAGTTCCAGCACCACAATGAGAGCGGCGAGTCTTGCAGAATTTGAGTATTCAATCGAACATCTGAACTTATAAACCAATCAGAGAACTGATTGAAAAGCTTTCACTAACATCTAAGCTGTGATCTCTCCCTGCAGAGCTGTCAGCATAAAACTTTTAATTCTGCTGTATAATAGTCTCTCTTATTTTGTTTCTTTTAACTGCTGCACTAAAATATTAACCTAATTATCACACAGCTAGATGGTGATAATTAGGTTTAATTAGCATGTTTTCTAAGCCAAAGCAAGGCTTTGTTTTGGGCTACTCTATAAAGCTTAGATCTCAACGCTAATTCTGATATTTTGAATTGAAAAATCTTCCTGGATGGGAAGCGAAACGTTTCAAACTTGGAAACAAAGTCTAGTGGATTTTTTTTTTTTTTACTTTTTTGTAAAAAAATGTATCATTTATTCATCTCATAATGTGCGTGCCTTTATTTACGCTGTTTTTGGTCAAATTACATGTATGCAGTGTGGATTCAGGCAGTGGATAGAAATGCATACCAGTACTTTATTTGTTGCATTTCAATAACACTTTAACAACAATGACGGAGTTAATTACAATCTAGATTCAGATACCTATTGCATAATTCTGCAATTTAATTAAGTTTCTAACAGTTTATTCTCAAAACCCCAATTCACAAAAATCTTCAGTCGATTTATTCATATATAAAAGTCAATTTTATATATGAAAGCTTAAAGAGACCATTCGGTGATATAGACAGATCCACACTCATACATACATTCCAACTTAATCAGTTATACATCTATGCTGCCAAACAGGGGCGCAGATAGGTTTTTGAAACTGTGGGGGACAGTTACTATAGGGCTTGGTCGTCGTGACGTAAGCACTTTGCGTCGCCGCCATGTTGAATGCGTCTTTTACCGCGGCTCAGACTACTGCCTATGACTACCGCATACTGTACTCCCTCTCAGCCGTGTTTTAATTTGATTAATTTCACCGTAACTTGATTTCAACCATGGTAAACCGTTGCTGTATTGTGGACTGTAACAGCTCAACACATGATCGGCATGGGAACAACATAGAAAATGGGTTAACTTTCCACCGCTTTCCTGACTGGAGGCGTAACCATGGAGACCAAGCATCAGAGATAAAGAGTCGTCGGCTAGCTTGGATCGCGGCTGTAATACGACCTAACATAACTTTCCACAGTATTCCAATGTCAATGAGAGTGTGTTCCCTGCATTTTCATTCTGGTAAGTTAAAGATGCACGGTTTTATTTTATAGCCTACTTTGTTTCTTTCCTTCAAAGTTGGGATCTTTTACGGGAAAATAATAAAAACGGCAGCGGGAAAATGCTCAAATACGCGAGAAACCCGGAGGGTTGGCAGTTAACGTTACTAACTACACCTTTGAAACACATAGCAGCTAGTTAAAAGTGCATTACATGCGTGAGTGGTTGTT